TTGGTCTATAGCCAAGACAGAAGAGTCTTTCAAAAAATAGTAGAATAAAAAAAGTCACATGTAGCCACGTCAATCGGAATAAATTGGCCATATCCGATTGAAATTTCATTCGGATTGTATGGGGTGGTTTAAACCTTTTCTAATCTGATTGAGAGGACATGTAATGTAAACACTTGATCAGATTAAAACCCGAAACTGGAAAGTACTGCGCATGTGCAATGTTGTGGAAATGGCGTAATGACATATGTCACAGCTGTTGTTGTATGAAGTGTCATTCTAAAATTTCCCTCCATTCATCATCTGTGAAGTGGAGCAGGACAACGTCTCACCAGTCCTTCGCACTCTCATTGGGCAATGGAAATTTTTACTGCTTGATAAATATAAGCAGCACGACAAATTGGTTCATGTGTTTTTCGTCTCCAAATAAGGATCCACAATAGATAAATATGCGTAAACAGCGGGAATCTGTATATTCATGCAGTGTGTGCATTTTGAAAAATCAATTCTGCTTTGAAGCTTGAGACATAAACACGCACATCAACCCAATCACTTCAAATTCATCAATCCATGAAAACGCTCTAGTGTGTCCTTCATATTACACATCTAGAAGTCTCCAGCTCTCTTCCCCTGACTTTCCTCATCTGACGTTTTCAGGAAGTTGAGGTAAAACAGTAAAAAGATCTCACTAGATTGCAGCGGCCATGTATCAGTCTCCAGCCCTTCCTGTTTACCAGCAGCCACCGTCTCAGATACAGCAGCTCTGGTGTGTTTCTCAGGTACTGATGAATGGATCCCAGCCCTCATTTCTGCTAAATATACATGGAAACAAAACTATTATTTTTCAACAAGTCTGTTATGGAGGAGAAGCCCACTGGTATTCAGGCTTGTCCTTGGCATGGCATGAGATTGAGAGACATGCCTACAACAACTCACATGAGTGGTGAAAAGTGGCTTAACTGGTTGCCTAATAGACACTCAACATGGTACGCAAGGATTCGACAACACCCGGCACATAACGACAGGAGCATATTGGGAAATTCTGTGTGGTAGGACCGAAATCAAAGTGTTTGCAAATGTTTTTTATGATTATACTTGGTGGTTTCTTGTGACAGTAAATTGGTCCCACCCTATTTATTTACAAAAAGCCACCTCAAGTCATCCTTCAGACAAAACACCTTAAGCCACCACAACCACCACACCCATGCAGACCAACCTTGAACTACACCTCTGCTCCACCTTAAGAAACGGCACAAATATTTCAGGAGGATCGTGATATCATCTGATATCATACATCATCAGAGCTGACGTTCAGTTAGACTTTTACACAAGTCCAAAGTCTCAGAATTGAAACAACTGCCATTTTATAACCAACACAGATGCTAAATTCATCTTGGGTCAGTTGGTGTATGTTTACTGGATTCACATATTACAACATAATTACAAGTGTGCACGTAAACAACACAAAATCCTTTATGCTATATTTCATCTAAAACTGTTTTAAACAACAACACTACCATTCAAAAGTGTGGGGTTGGTAAGATTTTTTAAACAAAGTCTCTTCTGCTCACCAAGGCTGCATTTATTTGCTCAAAAATACAGTAAGAACAGGAATATTGTGCAATATTATTACAATTCAAAATAACTGTGATCAAAGCTGAATTTTCAGCATCATTACCCCAGTCTTCAGTGTCACATCATATGCTGATTTGCTGATCAAGAAACATTTCTGATTATAACCAATTTTGAAAACATTTTGATTAGGCCAAATATTTGTAAAGGTGCTACCCGTTCAAAAACAACAGCATTTATTTGAAATGGAAATCTTTTGTGACATTATCAGTGTCTTTACTGTCACTTTTGATTAATTTAATGCATCCTTGCAGAACAAAAGTATTCATTTCTTTACTGACCCAAACCTTTTGAATGGTAGCGTGTAAATAACATCATATTGAGATGCGCTACATGAAACATCAATGGTAGGACAACTAGCCCAAACTAGTGAAACTGAACCCTGACCTTGGTCTCAACCTCTGAACTGACGACTTGCATGTTATTAGTCACAAATCTAACAGTGTAAACCAGGCAGACAACATTTTTTAAACGGTACTAGGATACAAATCTTAATCTTTAACCCATTCAGACCCATTGAAACATCTTATAGCAGTGTACACTGTAAATGAAAGTTCAGAGCGTCTTGGTTTCACATGAACACTTTTACATGGATGGTGTAAATATCACATGGCCAGTTTGCCCTCTTTGAAGAATTATGTCTGTGTCAAAGGTCCAGAAAAGGAAGCAGGAATAATACAGATACCACCACATTTGGTATATATTTAAACGGTCAATTATTAAAATATTATTACGAGAGCTCCGTCTCATTTAATCATAATCACAATACATAATCAAAACAGATATTTGTGACCAGTGGGAAACCCAGAGACTCATTTTGATTAACTGTACTGTACTGTTAAATTTAACCAAAACAAAGTGAAAGTAAAATTGCCTTACAGTATTACTTTATTGTTTTCAACTTTCTTGGGTCTTATTGACCAACTGAGTAATTTTAACCCTGTAGTTTCCCACTGGTTTCAATTGTGAGCAGGAATTAAACACATACTTTCATAACTTTGAAAAATATAAAAAGTGTTTCATTGGGGTGTTCAAAGAGTAAAATACACATGCCCACTTATCTGGAAGAATATGGGATTAAATGGGTTAATTAACTTAACTACCCACTTCTCTGTATTAATCAAATCCAATACAATGGTCATAAACATCAATTTCTGACAGATGATCTAATGACTAAATCCAACATTTCATAACTTGTGTTTAAAAAGGAGTTTGAGCTTGGTAAAGCTCAGTGGCAACAAACCAATTCTTGAATAAATAAGACCCCGGTGAGTTTAGTGCTGAGGAAGCAAAACTAGTTAGCTAACCCGGCTAACATTAGCTAATGCTGACTTACTCATCAAGTCCAATTAGCAGGCGAGCTAAATGAATAGTTTATATCACCCAAACAGAAAACAATTGAGCAGTTTCTTCTCTAAAGTTGATTATTATATCGCACTGTATCGGTATCGATATAGTTAGATGGAATCTGTCAAATTTATTTGATGAAATTGATGGTTAAGTTTGTAAGTCCCCTGTTTAACTCAACAGTCCAGTTGCTAGCAAAGCTAATGTGAAGTCAAAACACCCTGAAAACCCTCAAGTATCACTCAATCTCTCTTTAGAAGAACTTACTGAGAAGATGAAACGCTTATTGGTCTTCTGGGGGACCTCCACGCGTCTGGTTGTTGTTATTTACCCTAGTATTTTGGTGTAAAACTATCCCGGGGATCCCCTCACTGTCTATCTGCCCTGCCCGCTGCCGCTCCGGTCGCCAAATAAAGATCCTCGCTGCTGCTGCCTACACATGGACCCGAGAGACCGCAGTGCGCATGCGCAGTGGCGCACTGGCCCAAATGAAGAGGGGATTTATATGAGGAAGAGCATCCAAACACCATAGTCACCACCACCATTACAAGTATTTACTGAGGTAACCATAGTTTCAGATTAAATAGCAACTGTTGTATTCTGTTGACCGCTCATACTGTATATTTTTTTGTAAAGGCAATGATGTCAGTCACATTTTTGGATATTTATCAATGAAATGGTCAGACAATAAACCAAATGTTAATTATGCTACAAAAATAGTTCACGACTATAAAAATGCAAAGGCAAAATGAGAACTATTAAAATATGATAATCTAGAATAGATAATGTTGTTTCAATAAAATAATTCACCAAAATATTACGAAGGACTGACTCAAAATAAATAAATAAATAAATCAAAGTTGAAATATTTAAATTAAAACCATTAAATTAATAAAATACCTCCTAAATATCAATTGTACCATAATTTCCTCTTGCTATGACGTGATTGTAAATAAGAATTTAGATTTTAAGTGACTTAACTGATTAAATAAAGGCTAAAAAAAGACACTTTATTTCTCCAATTAAATTAGCCTACATTAATCAGAATGGTAACACTTTACAATAAGGTTAATTAGTTAACATAAGTTACATTAGTTAGCATGAACTAATAATGAACTGCACTTATACAACATTTATTAATCTTTGTTAATTTCAACATTTACTAATACTTTATTAAAATGTTGTTAACATTAGTTAATGCACTGTGAACTAACATGAACTAACAATGAACAGCTGTAATTGTATTAACTAACGTTATAAGATTAATAAATACTGTAACAAATGTATTGCTCATGGTTAGTTGATGTTAGTTACATTAACTCATGTTAACTAATGAACCTTATTGTAAAGTGGTACCATTCGAATATATTTTGGTCCTTATGAAGATCAGTCTTATTTTTAAAATGTCAAGACACACATTTTTCTCAGGTACCGTAGGCCTAAATCAAATTGCTTCATGTCCAGTTCAGGTGTGGCAAAAAGTTTTAAAGTAATGTACATTGATTTAGATATTTGCTATTGAATCTTAAACGCGATTCTAGAACACTCCAACATAATCTGGCCAATTTTACATGACTTCATCTAATAATTTGTCAACTATTATTATCTCATTCCAGACTGATTCTGTTTGGTATACAACAAAACAGTTGTATACCAAAAGGGGGCGCTCTACGGCTCACAAAATCTATTTATTAATCTATCTATTTTAATCTTTTAATCTATAAAAATTCAGTTATTAGTATCTGGCGTGGAAATGAAAATACTCTGCACAAATATCAATAAATAAATAATAATAATAAATAAATAAATAAACTCGTCCTGTAATCACAAACGACTGTAATTTGTCCATCCCGACAAGCGCTGCGAATAGTAACAGAAACCACGTTGCAACGCCGTCTACGAAAAGCAGACTCAAACTAATAGTAATACGATAACAGAAAAAAGTAATACCGTAACAGTCTTATACATCATGGTTTTATGTCTTATAAACATGTAAATCAAATTATCTAATTCCGTAAACATACCAGGTCCGTTAGCTTCCTGAATTAGTTTCCGCTTGCCTTGTTGATTGTGGTATAGCTCAGGGTCCGGGTGCAGCTCCGTGGGCTTCTTATCGACGAAATGAAACGAACACACATACACTCTCTTCGGAGGATTTTTTAATTTTAGAGCCGCGAGCCAAGCCTGTTTCCTCTCCTCTTTAGTCGGCATACAGTGTAATGCATACGGCGCAGGGCACGGACATTCATCCCTGATTTTTTGGTGTTCAATACAGATATTTTCTTAAAAACCCTTGAGTTTTTTCGAGTTGTTGTAACAACCAGATACAGCACAGGTCGAACCGGAGCTCATTTTAAACTCAAGTTCGCTGTGTGCGTATATAAAAATAATAAAATTTTCTTTTTTTTTAAATGAGACGGACCGGAAGCAGAACACCGGCAAACGGAAATAGGGAGAAGTTGCATTGTTTTCCAAACAAAACTTTATTTTTTATTTTGAGTAGTACAACATATAGTTACTTAGATGATAAAAACGTAAAATGTATACATATTTAAAGCATTTGAAAATGTTTAGAAGAGATTTTACCAGTTGTTTTCTAAACTTTCATTTTACTTTCACTCCGTGGTCAGCTGTGGTTTGGACTTAGCCTACACTAAATCATAGGCTATTCATCCCAAAATGATTTAGTTTCACATTTTCAATGTCTACAAGTTTTATCATGAAGTAATGATCGCGTATAGCCTACTGTCTGCTATATTTTGTCCATCTATATTTAACCAGGGAGATTATATTATCCCTGCATGGTTTCACAGACGAGGCTTAAGCTATAGCCTCAGACTAAAATGCATGCTTGAGCTGTTTTAACTGAAAGCAACGTGCACTGACATATCTCTTAAAATATGTCTTGTCATTGTTTTGTCTCGAGATGCACACTAGTAATGTTTCTAAGGCAAGTTAATAAAAGCTACTTAATGTTCTCATTGAACTAAGGCCTAATCCTGGTTTAAGCTAAACCCTGTCTGTGAAACCGGGCCAATATTGCTAAAAGAATTCAGATCTGAGGCCTGTTGCATGAAGCTAGTTGAACAAACTGAGTTTCAGACTAAGTTTAGAGTTGACAAACCCAATCAAACCTGGGGCCTATACCATGAAGCCGGTTCAGTTTCAGTTTAGTTTTCGCCAACCCTGGGTTTTAGGCACTATGAAAGTGGTTTGGCTTTTAGCAGTATTCATCGCCATAGTAACTTACGCTCCACGGCTAACCTGACACAGTTTAAATGAATAAATACATGAAGGTAATATAAATATGCTTTAGAATTAATAGATAAAGCTATAAAATGACTTCATGTGAGCTTAAATTTTCAATTCTCACTGTATAAATTAACTTCACAACTTTTACTTGCACTGATATAGCAATCCTTTTTCTTTTAGTTGTCCTCTTTCATAGACAGCTATTAATCTCGTAATATTCTGCAGAAGAGAGAAGTGAATCGCGCTGCTTCTCTTGCGAGAAATGAATTGCAGTTTCACTCTTTCTCAGCATGTGATTGGCTGTTTGCTACTGATGTCACACTTAAACTTCTTCTAATCTCAGGATCAAAGCCTGAGTTGACAGAGAAAGTTGATGATCAGCATCATGGTACTAACAAAGCCTGGTTGGATTGGTTTGGTTTTGTCAACTTGAAACTAATCCTGTAACCCTGAGTTTGTTCAACTACCATCATGGGACAGGCCCCTGGTTTAGATCAGGTTTAACGGGCTCATAACACTTGCTATAATGTTTTTTTGTCAAATCCAGTCAACAGCCAATCACATGAAACATGGAGAGCGTCAGTTTGATTCACTTCTCTGTTGAAGATTAAAGGGTTAGTTCACCTAAAATTTTAAATGATCCCATAATTCACTCACCCTCAAACCATTCTATATGACTTTCTTCTTTCAGCCAAACACAATCTGAGTTATATTAAAAAAGACCCTGGTTCTTCCCAGCTTTATAATGGGAGTGAATAGTCTGAGATTTTGAAAAAAGCGTATCCATCATATAAGTAATCCATACAACACCAGGGGGTTAATAAAGGCCTTCTGAAGCGAAGTGATGCGTTATTCTAAGAAAAAATATCCATATTTATAACTTTATAAACTATAATCACTGGCTTCCGGTAACGGCCATACACAAGTCTTGTTCCAGCGGGAGGAGTGACCTCTGACCCAACATATGACAAACACGGAAGCGCAGAGGATAGAGCAAAACAAAACACCGGTCATGAATTAGAAGTCTAAAACGAGAATTTAAAAAAAAAGAAATGTTGGAGGAGTTTGTTGCCCAGCCCTGTTAGTTTGAACCGTGTGAGGCGTCAAAGCTTACGGTACTCCTATGTAGCGCCGGGTCAGAGGTCACTCTTCTGGCAGAACTAGACTTGCGTACGACTGTTACCAGAAGCCAGTATGGATAAATATGGATATTACAAATACAAAAACTTCCGTATTGGAGCCGTATGGATTACTTTTATGATGGATGGATGCGCTTTTTAGGGCTTCAAAATCTCAGTTACCATTCACTCCTATTATAAAGCTTGGAAGAGCCAGGATTTTTTCATATAACTTCGATTGTGTTTGTCTGAAAGAAGAAAGTCATATACACCTAGGATGGCTTGAGGGTGAGTAAATTATGGAAAATTTTTCATTTTTGGGTGAACTAACCCTTTAAGTGATCATTATGAAAAAAAATATCATGAAGTTTTATGCATTTACAAGGCAGGAATAAACACTGCTGCTGCAGCGAAAGTTCTCTGAAATTCTTTCCAAAGTGCTTTAATTTGGAGCGAGAGATACAGGGGGAGGGGCTTTATATCATCAGAGACATGTCACTTTACTCACAGCGGTTTGGTCCAGTTTTGTTATGCGATCTCTATCCCAGAATAAAACTTACTTCGGAACAGATTAGCCGTGTAGCGTAAGTTACAAACAAATCCACCTTCTTGAGCACGAAAAACCAGAGTTTGCTCAAACTAATCTTGAACTTACCTGGGTAGAAACTGAAACCGGCTTTGTGCGACAGGCCACAGACACCCATAGCTTGTTTCGATACCCAGTGACATCTACTGGTTGTTTTGAGGTATGACAGCTCATGATGAACAACCATACTATTTAACTAGTGATGCAATTTCCAGCACTTTACTAGGCTATACATATCTCAATTATAAGACATAAATATATAATTATATATATATATATATATATATATATATATATATATATATATATATATATATATATATATATATATATATATATATATATATATATATATATATACACTCACCGGCCACTTTATTAGGTACACCTGTCCAACTGCTCGTTAACACTTAATTTCTAAGCAGCCAATCACATGGCGGCAACTCAGTGCATTTAGGCATGTAGACATGGTCAAGACAATCTCCTGCAGTTCAAACCGAGCATCAGTATGGGGAAGAAATGTGATTTGAGTGACTTTGAACGTGGCATGATTGTTGGTGCCAGAAGGGCTGGTCTGAGTATTTCAGAAACTGCTAATCTACTGGGATTTTCACGCACAACCATCTCTAGGGTTTACAGAGAATGGTCCGAAAAAGAAAAAACATCCAGTGAGCGGCAGTTCTGTGGGCGGAAATGCCTTGTTGATGCCAGAGGTCAGAGGAGAATGGCCAGACTGGTTCGAGCTGATAGAAGGGCAACAGTGACTGAAATAACCACTCGTTACAACCGAGGTATGCAGCAAAGCATTTGTGAAGCCACAACACGCACAACCTTGAGGCGGATGGGCTACAACAGCAGAAGACTCCACCGGGTACCACTCATCTCCACTACAAATAGGAAAAAGAGGCTACAATTTGCAAGAGCTCACCAAAATTGAACAGTTGAAGACTGGAAAAATGTTGCCTGGTCTGATGAGTCTCGATTTCTGTTGAGACATTCAGATGTTAGAGTCAGAATTTGGCGTAAACAGAATGAGAACATGGAACCATCATGCCTTGTTACCACTGTGCAGGCTGGTGGTGGTGGTGTAATGGTGTGGGGGATGTTTTCCTGGCACACTTTAGGCCCCTTAGTGCCAATTGGGCATCGTTTAAATGCCACGGCCTACCTGAGCATTGTTTCTGACCATGTCCATCCCTTTATGGCCACCATGTACCCATCTTCTGATGGCTACTTCCACCATGTCACAAAGCTCTAATCATTTCAAATTGGTTTCTTGAACATGACAATGAGTTCACTGTACTAAAATGGCCTCCACAGTCACCAGATCTCAACCCAATAGAGCATCTTTGGGATGTGGTGGAACGGGAGATTCGCATCATGGATGTGCAGCCGACAAATCTGCGGCAACTGTGTGATGCCATCATGTCAATATGGACCAAACTCCCTGAGGAATGCTTCCAGCACCTTGTTGAATCTATGCCACGAAGAATTGAGGCAGTTCTGAAGGCAAAAGGGGGTCCAACCCGTTACTAGCATGGGGTACCTAATAAAGTGGCAGGTGAGTGTATATATATATATATATATGTAATTTCTTAAGAAACACAAGAGAAGCAAGTTAAAAAAATCATTAACCTAGAATTAGAGGGCAGTAATAATTTTAAACTAACTTCATCAGTTATTATCCTAAATTAAGTTTGTGTTTTTACATGATGGGGGTTATTAAAGGCGTGTGTTACATCTTCAAGTGAAAATTAATAAGAGCCTACAAGTTTAACAACAAGGATTTAAAAAAAAACAAATAGTCAAACAAATCAATTACTAAACAATAAATATGTTTATTTTAAAATAACGCTTTATATTATTTTAATATGCATAAAATAATACAATAATTCTGTTAATAATTATTATTACTAATAATTTTACAAAATAGGCTATAGCTAGATAAAATATTTAATATGAAATACCATTGGAAACAAGCAACATACGTGCAATTACTACGATTCTCAGTTTATTTTTTTATAGAATTGCTAATTTGATTTAATTTTAAAGATTTGATTCGGGTTTTTAAATAATTTTTCAAATGATGGCGTGCTTAAACGCCCATTTCCACACCACTAGGTGGCAGCAAAGGCTAGGGTATCCTTACATTGATTAGCAAATATATGAATTATGTTGATATGCGTATTAAAAGAGTCTGATAAATACTTCTCGTCTGATTTTGAACCAAATCTTAGATCTTACAACATCATAGAGTTAATTACCCTGATAGTTCTCCAGGCTAAAAGGACACGTCAGATTAGGATCAGTTTGGTCTCTACCACTAGATGGCGTTATTATACAGCAATTCAATGTATTGACAAAAACCCTGATGAGATTCTGGCCTGAACTTGACCTTGGCAGTAGCCTACAATAT